TGTTGTTACAGAGGATCTTGATGATTTACGAATGGAGGGAGTAACTACTCTGGTGCCTTCTGGGAGCAAATTTAACCAAGGTCGTGCTCCTCACCCTGCTGAACCTCAGGCCAAGGTCACCCTGAACATCTGCTCAAGGTGTGCCAGGTAAAACAATAGGATGGATTTAATCTGTCAAGTAATCTTGATTGTTAAGATCTAAGATTTGTATGCAAAGCTGGTCGTCTGTGTTAAGAAGAGCTTTTCCTTCCAGTTATCGTTTGCGCTAACACAGGCGAGGGAATTAGCTGTGCAGTTTGTCCTGGTGCCCAGTGCCATTCAGTCCAACAATGAATCAAAGAGTTTAGATTGTCTTCACTTCACAGCTTGAGACTATTTTAAGCCTTTCTGTCTCTGAATTTCATTAGCTGTCTGCCCTTCTGTTCCCTTTCAAAGGAAGATTCAAGGGGCTCTGGAAGTTCAAAGCCAGTTTTAAACACCTGCGTCAAGGAAGAGTTTGCCCAGGTACAGTTTAAGATCTGATATTATTGGCCACTTAACCTGCCCCTCATCCTGTTTCCCTCCTGGAAAGAGTTTAATCAGCTTGATGCTTTTCAATTTGGGCAGCTGGAAGCGATCTTTGCATATAGTGTATGTGGCCAAAGAAGTAGCTTCAGAGTTACCGCCAAGCTCCAGTGCTGGCTTAGCAGAAACTAGCCAAAGAGCTAGAATTCATTCTTTTGTAGGAATTAAATCTCATTTGCAAAGAGGTTTTTAAGCCTGTTTAAATGATAAAACAAGCTTTCTAACCCTTGTGTAAATGGTGCAGATTAGCAAGAACAATACACTGGCTGGCCAGTTCTATCTTCTTTCCCGTATGTCTAGCTGTTCTATTGTATTGTTTGAGAGGGGATTAGCTGCTTGGAAGTAGGGGTGGGAGGAGGAAATGTAAGAAAATAAAATCACTTTATGTAGCTTTTTCTCTTTTGCTTTACCCCTTTGGAACTTTTTTTTTTTTTTTAATTGTCACTGGCCTAGAAAAATAAAAAGCACCCTTCTTAGAAATACAAGGCAATTTGAGGCCATTAGGAGAGATGCTGTATCACAGTGGTAACATCAATGGGAACATTGCTTCAGACAAGTAACATTTGGGTGAACTGACTTTTTGATTCTGGCTGTGAAGAAAACTTCTAATATTTATGTGATGGTATGTAGGTACCCTGAGTACGCAAGGTCACCTGTGGAAGAGTTGTTTGGCTTTTTTTCTTTTAACTTTACGGTTGTCGTGTGCCGTTGAGTTGATTCCGACTTATAACGACCCTATAGGACAGAGTAGAACTGCACCATAGGGTTTGCTAGGCTGTAATCTTTACAGGAGTAGATGGCCAGGTCTTGTCTTCCTAGGAGCGGCTAGTGGTTTCAAACCACTGACCTTTCAGTTAGCC